AGCCTGTACAGTTCCATCGTGGTTTAGGATTGTGTTAACTGTGAATTTTCCGTCGAGGGATTCAGATTCCAAGCAAGTCATCTGAGACCACTCCATGATAATGGAAACATCACATCTTCTCGAGTATGTTGACAAATACGTTTCTTTGTGTTGTGTAACATGCAACTTAGGTTGTGAGCAGCATGACACGACTCGTATGTGCAGGAATTAAAGGGCAGATCTCAACGCCAGAAAGACGAGGGACCAGAAAACGTGTTTATACACTATGTGTGACATGTCAACAGAGCGAATGACGATGCACTACTACCCAACGGATGCAGATCCGCGTCAGTCATGCAAATTGGTGTTCACGTTCGTTATTACTGATGGTCACCTATCTTGTATTGAATTTCGTGTAATAATCAACTCCCCAGACCAACCGTCTTTTGCTGTCACAACAATTATTGTACACTGCATACGAAAAGGGGGTTTTGGTGATGGTATGCTATTTAGAGATGAAAACTACATTATTTACTTCTATGCAAGACCGTGTGAATGTAACCTCAGTAATCAAAAATCCTCAATGGTGTAGTTGTTAGACCAAACCGAGAACAATCGAGTGTTCGGAAGAAGCATTGCACAACTCAAGTATTTTCATTGCAAGTTTTCCATGTCTGTTAGAGTCATCATATTTCAAGTTGAACATCACCCACAATTGATCGCAGCTGTCGCATTCCCATAGACTTTCCAGTCGGCCCCTTTCGAAAAGAAGCACTAGACTCGAGTTTCGCTCTCATTAGAGCTCGTCAGTAGTGCATATCCTTGCCACTGCCGGGACTAGAACTCCGGCCACGCTTTCATGAGGCAACCGCCATTGACCTCACATTAGGCACGACCGAATTATCATATGTGAACGCTCAACCACTTTCGCTTGTGTAGGTTTCAGTACATCGGTTGAAACGGTCGTCTTAGTGTGGTCACATGTTTCATTGGTAGATTCTACTGATCCCCACACTTAAAATTCCTGTGATTTTGCAGCATGTTTGTTTTTAAACAATACTAAACCATTTGACGTATAACATACTGTTTACTGTCTGAGTCACATAAGAGACCGGTTAAAACAGTGTAGTTTTTGAACTGCTTTCACGGGCTGGTCAAGTTATCCAAGTTGAATAGAGCCGTTCTTTTAAAGTGGCTAGAAAACGAAGCTGAAGGATAAAAGGTATCTAACCACAAGATTTCGTGCAGTCTTTCGAATGTTTATTACACACACTTTCATGCTAATTTCCGGGTGACCCATTAGAGACAGTTTTTGGTACAAAAAGGGCTTCACAATAGCTCAGATAAACTTGATCAATGAAACTGATCCGGACTCAGTACAAAACTTTCGTGAGGTCAGAAATAACCCGAACACACTCCATGTAGATAGTACCGATGAAAAGTCTGTGATGTTGTAGTCCATAAAGTTGAACCGATCCAAAGTTTACAGCCACTATCCACATCTCATCATTCGGATCCACCGCTTCAATTTGACCAGTTTGAGATGGATCTCACTATAATTGCTCAACACGCAAAAATATTCATGCATACACACAAGGAGAAATCAGCATTAAAACAAATCTCACTGTGGTGCCATAACAACAAACCATGGTTTACTAATAAGTAGTTTGGCAGATTTATGATTTTAGATGAGACCCAATTGTGAAAAGTCAGGGCTTCGGCTGGATTCGAACCAGCGACAGAAACACCATGCCTCAACGCGGCAAGCGCTCTACCGGTCTCTATGTGAAAAGATTGATAAAGACCTGTTTTTTCAGCACTGTTCATAGTTGAGTAGTGGCTGCCTGTTCCTAACAATAAATGTTGGATACACGTCCACAAACACAACACTCCTCGGGAGCGGCTCTTCAGAATTTGGGCAACCAACAGTCCTTACGTTTAGCTTATCTCAGTCATGTTGATCACAAAAGCTACGACACGCTTCAGCCAAAGGTCTGTCGGGTCTTGTATTGACATACCAAGAAGCCCAGCTTTTTACCTAACAGTGCATGGCATGCCTGAGCTATATAGATTCCTGTGGACTTGGCTACTTGCTTCCCTCCTCAGAACATTGACCGTCAATGATACTACTGACAAGCTGCGACAAGAATGGGCCATGAACCTGATGGTTTTTGCAAAACAGGCTAGTTGGAATAATTTATGAGTAATGTTCTACTCATATCTCCCAAAGCCTGTGGTTGAAACACCGATCTGGATTACTAGAACGGTTACTGTGTATCTTCTTG